GCCCCGGTGAGTGCCACGGACGCCGAGCCGGCAGCTGCTGCCCCGGCCGGAGCTGCTGAGGAGGAGGAGCCCCAGGGGCCTCTGGCTCCTGAGGAAGAAGAGGCAGAAGGTTCTGCAGCCTTCAGAGAGCAGGTGCCATGGGCAGGGACACAGAGCCCGGTCCCTGCCCCACACAGCCCCTCAGAGGGCAGCGAGGCCCTGCTGGACACAAAGCAGTACATCACGTGTGGGATCGTGAGGAAGGCTGAGCTTGTGATCCAGGGATCCAGCCAGGAGCCAGAGGAACAGAGAAACCTGGAACAAACCATGGATACAGACATGGTCACAACACTTACAGCAGAAAGGACAGAGAGTCCAGACCCTGCCCTGCAGAGCCCCCCAGAGAGCACCCAGGATCTGCTGGACATGGCCTTTTACCTCTTCAGGGAGATCATGAGGAAGGCCGAGCGTGTGCTCAGCTGCTGGCCGGAGGAACAGAGGGTCCCAGAAAGAAGCACGGCTACAGAAATGATAACAACAATTCCAGCAGAAAGGACAGAGAGCCCGGTCCCTGCCCCACACAGCCCCTCAGAGGGCAGCAAGGCCCTGCTGGACACAGACCAGTCCATCACCCGTGAGATCCTGAGCGAGCCTGAGCTTGAGATCCAGGGATCTCACCAGGAGCCAGAGGAACAGAGAAATCTGGAACAAACCATGGATACAGACACGGTAACAACAGTTACAGCAGAAAGGACAGAGAGCCCAGTCCCTGCCCCACAAAGCCCCTGCTCCCCCAGCAGCCCCTCACCTTCCCAGGTGAAAGCCCAGGCCCTCAGCGAGCAGGAGGAGGGAGCAGGAGGGGACTCAGTCCTGGCAGTGCAAGACACTGACGAGGGGCCCTTCCCTGGGGAGGGCATAGACTGGAAATACTACGTTGACCAAGACATTTCCCAGTGGGAAGATGAGGGAGACCAAGAGTTGTCCCAAGAAGACATCAGCACATACCAAGAAATGTCCCAGTGGGAAGAGTGCATTGAGCAGGAGCTGTCCCCTGGAGAAGTCAAGAGCTCCCAGGAATTGTCTGACTGGGAAGAATACGGTGAGGAAGAGGAGCCCCAAGGAGAAGTGAAGAGCTACCAAGAAGTGTCTGACTGGGAAGAAAACATGGAGCAAGAGCAGTCCCAAGGAGAAGAGAGTAGCAGCCAAGTGTCTGACTGGGAAGAATACAGTGATGAAGAGCTGTCCCACAGAGGAGTGAAGAGCTACCAAGAAGTGTCTGACTGGGAAGAAAACCTCGAGCAAGAGCAGTCCCATAGAGAGGAGAGTAGAGGCCAAGAAGTGTCTGACTGGGAAGAATACAGCGAGGAAGAGCTGTCCCACAGAGCAGTAAAGAGCTACCAAGAAGTGTCCGACTGGGAGGACCCAAGTGAGGAAGAGCAGTCCCAAGGGGAAGGCAGTAGCTACCAAAAACTGCCCGACCAGGAGGAATACAGCGAGGAAGAGCAGTCCCAAGAAGTCAAGAGGCACGAAGAACTGTCCGACTGGGAGGACTCCAGTGAGGAAGAGCAGTCCCAAGAAGTCAAGAGGCACGAAGAACTGTCCGACTGGGAGGACTCCAGCGAGGAAGAGCAATGCCACGGAAAAGGCAGTAGCTCCCCAGAAGTGACCAACTTGGAAGAATGCAGCATGAAAGTGCAGCCCCAAAGAAAATTCAGTAACTACCAAGAACTCCTGTCCGACTGGGAGGACCCCATTGGCCAAGAGCTGTGCCAGGATGAAGACTCCTTGGGCCAGGACTTTTCCGCCTGGGAAGACTACACACCCTCCTGGCTGTCCCGATGGGAAGATGACAGCGACAGAGAGCTGGCACTGGCGGACTGGGAACACAGGAGCGTCCCCAGCTTGGGGGTGAAGGCCTTGCTCCCGGAGGAGGATGAGTGGGAGGAACTGAGCGTGCTGGAGCTGTCCCAAGG